AAAATTAAAAGAAAAATCTTCTGACGAAGATAACGAAGTAGCCGCGAGGGTAATAATTATTAGTTTGCTGAATTTACGTTAATACAACCTTTTTATATTTATTTTTGTTATATAAACTGAAATGAAAAATCTCATGAAAGACCAAATCCCTGACGAATACGCAATAGATTATGATAAGACTTTTTTTGAGCAGACAGAGAAAATCTACAAGAAATTGATTCCTGAATTAAAGAAGTTGATGAGTAGGTATTTTAATCTATCAGTCATTCAATTGGTGATCAATACACAAGCATAAAAAAGATAGAAATCGAAAGTAACAATCGGGCTAATTAGATAGAGATGACTGATATATATACATAAATGCTCATTTATCTGAAGTGAGTATCATTTCATTTAATATATTTCTTTTTTATTTTGAATGTTTTAATAACTAATCTTTATATGATTGACAGAAAAGAAACAGAAGAATTAAGGCAGCCATAAAACTATACGAACAAAATGATAATGATATACAAGAATTTGATAAAGATGAACTTTTACCTATTCTAGCTCAGAACGGATATCATTCTATTGAGCAATCTGATTCAGATGATGAATTGCATCAAAAATTGCCAGATAACAAATAATTTCTCTATATATATGATTATCCATGGCATTCAGAAAAGGTAATAAGCAAATTATTGTTATTTACATTTCATAATATTTATTCAGTCATCTTTTATCTTTGTTTTTAATTGTTAAAACACCTATTACATGATGTGTTAGATCCCGTTATGGAGCAAATTCAACATGCGAAAAAGCAACAAGAATGAATTTATGATGATGATATTTATTTATATATAGTAATCCCCAAAACACATCCGAATGAGCATATGATATGAAAAAAATTAAATACAAAGAAATGTCAGAATACGAAGTCAATGACGACTATGATAAGAAGATACAATATGATGACACGAATTTAACGGATCCAAATTTAGATTTCATACTAAATTCATCAGAGATGAATTTGATTCAACCTGAAGATTTAGACAAAACTGGCGAATGCTCGTAATCAGTAAATTGAATTAGTTTTTATTATTTTTATCACAAACTAAAATATTTATATTATATTGGTAACAAAAAACCAAAAAGAAAAAGAGTCAAAAAGGCAAAGAAAAAGATGAGGAATATCATGAGTAGAACTCCTATAACAAACTTCCACTCTTCAATCCGCATTCCAATCATTACACTATCGCAAGTTTCAAGTCAAATATCATACCAATTACATACATTATTTTCTCATATATTTATTTTTAATTTTATATTTGGTTTA